TCAAAGGAGCAGATCATGTTTGCTCCTGCTGCAACCTGCTGTGACCACTTGAGAGAATAATGATTTTGTGGGTATACAGAATACTGTATAGAGCAGTAAGGTGACGCACATTACTAAAGTCCGAGGTAAAAACATGAAGGAACACCTTAGATGGAAACTGGATAATAGTATGGCCCTAACCTTGTGGAGATAGTAGCATCCCGACCTCTCTGAAATATTTGGTGACTCTCTCTGAAATATATTTGGTGACTCTCTCTGAAACTTTTGTCTCATTCACCAGCTCTCCCTTCCTCATTTCATATATATTCCCCAAAGCTAGGGAAAAGAATGCAGCTGTTCATGTTTTTTTTCTTTTGTAGAGACAGAGTCTCATTTTATAGCCCTTGGTAGAGTGCTGTGGTGTCACACAGCTCACAGCAACCTCCAACTCCTGAATTTAGGCAATTTTCTTGCCTCAGCCTCCAGAGTATCTGGGACAACAGGGGCCTGCCACAATGCCCAGCTACTTTTTTGTTGCAGTTTGGCCAGGGCCAGATTTGAACCTGCCACCCTCTGTATATGGGGCCAGCACCTTACTCACTGAGCCACAGGCGCCACCCCAGCTATTCATGTTCTAGAGCAGAAGCTGCTGAAAGGAGCTTCATAAATCCTCTCAGAGTGTCTTTCCTTAATAAATCCTCTGAGAGCATCTTTCCTTAAATATATACCATTGCAGTTTTCAAGTTAATTGATGTGAGATGAGCACAGCAATAAGTAACTCTCCTTATGTTGTATATGATAGTCTTTATTTTAAATATAATTTTGCCATATGTTGACTTGTAGTACTCTTGAAAGCTTTGACAGGAAAGTCAAGCAAATACTAGTAATGGTGTTTTATAATATGCGATTAGGTTTTTCAGAAAAGTGAATGATTTTCCCAGGGAAGCACAAATGAGTGTTGTCAGCTGCCTTCTGTTTTCACTCTCAGAAAGAAGTAAGGGAGACTACTGCCATACTGTCTTTGAACTCATACCCCATGTGAGGACTTTGTCAAAGAGGTTGAATCACCTTAAGAGTTTAGAAAGAGTTTGGATTTGGCCCAGATATGTCCTCTTTATCTTTTATGATCAAAGGTGAACTTTAAATTCAGACATGTATCTGTTGTCATTTTCTTTATATCTGGGATTACTTTGATGTGGGATTACTTTTGGGCATTCATTTTTACCTCTTAATCCTTAGGGTTGCATTCTAATGACCAGATGGGGACATTATTATATCAGTGATTCTGGATGCCTTAGAGTTTGACCTTTTCCCAGCTCTCTGTCTTTGACCAAAAAGAAATCCAAGCAGAGGTAGAAAGGGAAAAACAACTGTCTACCTCTATACTGCATGAATTAAGTATTCATCTCTCTTTTCTGAAAGTTTTTCATCTTGTCATGCAGAGACATTTATTGCTCTTTTCATAGAACTTCCCTTCTTAGATGAGTTTGCTAAATTTTGCCAAGTGTGTCAACTGCCTGCTGAGCACCCTTAATATCTTTCTCAACACTCTCTCACTCTAATTCATCATTAGGTGATTAATACACCTTACTGGTCTATCCCTTGAGAGGTTCCATCTGAAATATGGATTATAGGTTCTTACCTGAATCTGAGAATTTGAAAAAAATAGGTTCACTCTAGTCTTCTATCCTTAGTCTAGCAAATGGTTATGTATATCAGAGTTTGGGATCTAAAATTAAACTACTGGGAACCAGATAGCTTTGAGCCTATCAAGTCCAATATCTTTACTTTACAGATGAGGCGACATAAAACCAAACTCAATTTTTCCCCCTGTTTTCTATGTAGCTACAAACAGAGCTATGACCAAAATCCAGATTACTTGATCAATGCTTATACCACAGGCCTTCTATGTGATATTTCACCAAATTGTGCCAAGGATGCCACTTGCACTTCAGCGGAAAGTGCTTTTAATATGGTTGGGATTTACTGCCTCCCAGAGACTAGTTCTGGGAGATGGTCACTCATTAACCCCCCCATTAGCTCTCTGAAATCAAGGTCATGCAAAGACCCTTCTGGGACCAAGTTTCTTGGCCATTTTTGGCCTTCTTGGCCATTTTTGGACCCCAGGAATGGTAGGTATGACTCAGGTATTCTTCCCCCACCTTTTGAGAAGCAGTGGGTACTGTATAGTGTAGGGAGTTCGAATCCAGAATTTATTACTTGGACATGGACCAAATTTCTTAACCACTCTGTACCTCAGTTTCTTTATTTGCACTGTGAGAATGGTAACAATACCCCTTCTACAGAATTATTGTGAGGATTAAATGAGTCAATATTTATAAAATGCTTATAATAGGTAGACCCAAAGAAGGGCCATTTCCAGAAACCTCACTTCCAAATTAGATTTCTTTCACAGGTCTTTCTTTTTAATTAGAAACTTTCTCCAATGGAGTTTCTATTTATCTACCATATGTGTCACATACACAAAAAATACATAACGCATAATACATTTATACACATAATGAGCTCATTTGAAATGCAAAAACAATTACATTTTGAGACATTTGTACTACACAGTACATATACATTAGTTGATTATAGATAATATATCACATTAGTACAGTTTCACAATCATTAAGTTGGGGGTTTTTGTTTCTTTTTTTTTTTTTTTTTTTGAGACAAGATCTTGCTCTGTCACCCAGGCAGGAGTGCAGTGGCATCATCACAGTTCACTGCAAACTTCTGGGGGAACTTCTGGGCTCAAGGGATCTTCCTGCCTCAGCCTCCTGAGTAGCAGGGATTATAGGTGTGTACCACCATGCTTAGCTAATTATTTTATTTTTTGTAGAGGTAAGGTCTTGCTGTGTTGCCCAGGCTGATCTTGAACTCCTAGACTTAAGTAATCCTCCTACCTCAGCCTCCCAAAGTGTTGGGATTACAGGAATGAGCCATCGTGCCTGGTTTAATCATTAAGATATTGGCTCAGCACCTATAACCCAAGCAGCTAAGGTGCCAGCCACATATACCAGAGCTGGGAGGTTCAAATCCAGCCCACGCCTGCCACACAACAATGACAACTACAACCAAAAAATAGCCAGCCGTTGTGGCGGGTGCCTGTGGTCCCAGCTCTCCCCAGGGTAACAGCTTAAGGCTCTATCTCAAAAAAGAAGAAGAAGAAAAGAAAAAGATATTAATGAGCATAAGATTGAACCCTAAACTTCACATTGGCCATATGCTTTGAACTCTGTTCTAGTTCTTTCTCCCTTCAGGATACTCTGCCTACTTTTAGATATCCTATGTTGGATACCTAAAATGGATTTGGTGAGACAGTTTACTAAGATCTTCAAATTTCACATCTTCCTGGTTTCACTTTGCCTCCTAAAACCTAAATATTTCCTAACAATAGCTTTCCTTCAAGATGGAATATGATAACCTAAAATAAGTTGACTGAGGCAAAGATCCCAAGCAATGGAGATTTATTAAGCCAAAGTTGAGTATGCATCTAGGAAAAACACAAACCACAGACAAATAGGTCGCTGTTTTTCTGAAGGAGAATTTGGAGTTTCAGTATTTAAGCAGAGTAGGGCATACAGAAAGGAAAAAAAAAAAAAGCAGGAGGTGGGTAGGCAGTGAGACAAAATGGCTACATTCTTGTGAGACCCCGGAAGATCTCTGTATTCTGGATAAAGTTAGAAGAGACAAAGGGAGTGAAAGAAGCATCAATAATGTAGATGTCCCTGGGTAAGTGGAAGAATGTCTTTGTTCTGCACTTGGGAAGATAAACTTGTAATTCATTACAACAAACTTTAGTTTTAGGAGCTAGACTTAGCCTTCAGACCTAAAGTTAGAATTTGCATGTCTTTGCTTATAGGAGGCTAGCAAGGCATTTCCTTAATGAATGATCTGTGCGGCCAGTCCTTTAGAGGTACCTGAGCTTTTACCTCCCCATTTGCATAAGGAGTTGAGAAGGGAGATCCTGAGATTTTTTCTTTTACAAATATAATATGTAATAATCATAATATTCCACTATATACAATACTCCCATTAGTTCCCACATTGCCTTTATGGAAGTATGAGTGTTTTCACATCTTCAAGGATTTTTGTTGGGGACAGGGACTTTTGCTTTAGAGGCTTTGTAATTTACACAATGAGAGATACCCTGTTCCATCTGTCAGGATATCTGACAAATACCCTGCTTTGTCACCCAGGTAGGAGTGCAGTGGCATCATCATAGTTCACCGGGAACTTCTGGGCTCAAGTGTTCTTCCTGCCTCTGCCTCCTGAGTAGCAAGGATTATAGGTGTGTACTACTATGCTCAGCTAATTTTTTTATTTTTTGTAGAGACAAGGTCTTGCTGTGTTGCCCTGGCTGGTCTTGAACTCCTGGCCTTAAGTCATCCTCCTACCTCAGCCTCCCAAACCTATTAATTGTCAATATTTTAGTTCCATTCTACTAAAGAAGTATTTCTCCACCCTTCATACCTACCATCCCCCTTACTATCCTGAAATAGAATTCCTAGATAAAATTAACTATCTATAGACTTAGATATCAACACATTACCTTAACTATAAGCTAAAGGAGAAAGAAGGAGGAAAGTGATTTATATTAGAATAATATGTATTTCAGCATGTAAATGATTAGATGAAATAAATGCTTATACCAATTACTATAATACAATTATAAATGCTGATTTATGAATGTCATATTTATGGATCTATTACTATGAGTGGTTTCATTTTCCTGAAATGGTGAGCAACTCCTAAAAACATTCAAACAAAAAAATGTATTTTCTTGATTTTTTCAGTATATATCAAAGCTGTGCAGAATACCTTGTATTCTTATGTAAAGTGGTGTTAGGTGCTAGTTTCAGATAACTATTAACAACTGTTTTGAAAATTGGGCAGGATAAGTGACAGTTCTTTGTTTTGCAGAAATGTCTGTCATTCCTGGCCCCCAATAAATTCTAATAGCTCTCCCCAACTATCATCACAACTCCCAAGGACTGTTGTCTTAAGGATCACCATAATGAAAAAGGTAAGTGACTGACAACAAAATAACAATGAAATACTTTAAAGGTCTGGGCTGTAAGAATGGAGGCCAGTCAAGCTGGCAGTAAGGCAAATTCCTGGTAGGGAATGTTGGCACCATAAAGTATACAACTGGATTTTAGTGCAAGACTTCATAATAAGAAATTCTGATTCCCTCCTAGCTATTCAGGAGGGTGAGTTGGGAGGATTGCTTGAGCCCAGGAGTTTGAAGTTACAATGAACAATGACCATACCACTACTCTCCAGTCTTGGTGACAGAATGAGACCTATTCTGTCTCATTCTGGAAAGAAAAAAAAAACGAAGAAGAAGAAGAAATTCTGACTCCTCAGTCAACCCAGTGGTAGTGCTTTTTGTCTTTCCTGCTTCAGGGGAAAGGCATGTTCTTGGCAAAGCTAGACAGACATGGAGAGTATCATCCTTTTACACTTCAGGTTCTCTATGTGTGCTTCTTGATAAATATCCCCCAAGGTTAACTTCCATATCTGAGAAGTTCCCAGTCTATGAGAAAGGAAAGATTTGTGAAACCAAATCAAATTCCTAACCCACCAAATCAAATCCCTAACCCAGTAAATCTCAAATTATTCTGTGAGCAGAAACATTTACAGAGCTTTTGCACAGTTTGTGGCCTCCTGTGATATACAAGGGATCTAGACAAAATCAAAAGAGAAAGTGTTAAACAACAAGCTTTAGTGAGGAAACTTAGAGTCCAGAGATGAGCAACAAGAGAAGGCACAGGTTCCCAGATATTCGCTATTTTCCCCACAGAAACATTGCTGGAGCCAGGATGGATGCTCTACTAGAAAATCAATGTAGGTTGGTGTTCCAGGAGGGGGCCTTCATATAAGGCACATGTAAGTAAGAACTTTGTCAGTTGGGATAATAACACAGGCAGTGTGAATGTGAGGTACCAGATTTTAAATATGAGTCATCTAGGAAAGCTAGCTTACTATTACCTGGGAACTTTGAGATTCTTCGGAAGTTTTGGCCTCCCTACAGAGGGAAGAAGTCTTCTGCCAAAAGCTGAGTTTGTGTTTCAGATCCCTTTGTTATGACAAGCATATTGGCAGGGGGGTACTAGTCCCAACTAGAACTTGTTTAGGCAACCTAGAGGATGTTTTTAAGGCTGTTTTTGGACATTCAATTCATCAAGTTACATGAAGCTGTTAACATAAAAATGCTTAGGCCCCATAAGATTTACTAAGTCCAAGGCAAGGCTTATGTATCTGGAATAACAGGTTCTATAAGGAAGTGTGTGTGGTGTGTGTAACCTGTCTTTTAGAATTCAATGTTAGCCCCATTCAGATACCCATTTTCTCCACCCCTTCTTGCCACAGCCCCTGTATGAGTTTACTCTATCTTTTCTACGGATAAAATCATTGAAAATGAGCTTTGAATGGCTCTGTGTCTCCAGTACCAATAGCCTTGTGTTAAATCATTTCTTTTTTTCCCTTTTTGACTATGAGACCCTTTTTCCCTTTTGACCATGAGAAGTGTTGGAAGTATTAAATCATTTCTAATCTACAGGAATCCAACATGCAGATTCAATTTGATCTCACAGTTGAAGGGAGAACAACTATAGATGCTGGATCTTCAGGGAGCTGAACAGAGAAATGCCTAAAAATGCCTGTCTAGGTGAGTAGTGTCATAAAAAGGCAAAGAATTTGATATTTAGGTGATGAGTTCTAGTATAAACCCTTGTAATTCACTGAGTGACTGAGGCAAGTTATTCATCTATTTTCTGTCAGATAAGCAAGTCAGCCTAGTTGAGTTCTGAGTTTTTGTTATACCTGTGATATTCTATAATTTTAGACTTATTTAGATGGATGCCTAATCAAAAGAAGTGTTAGAGGTCAAATGGAGGTAGCAGTATGGTAGTTATCATTTCTGAATTCTTATTTTCTCTTAATGGTAAGAAAATGGTTGTACTCAAACTTGATAAAGTTATCCTTCCTTTTTGCTTTTCCCCTCTACACTTGAGAAAGTCTTTATTATTCTCATTCTTCTTGCTCTCATTTCCCTAGACTAATCAGCTATAGTAATAGGTCATTTAACCTTTTAATCTCCTACTCTGTTCATCAGCAGGTATATCTGTTCATTTACATTTTTTTGGCTTAGTGTATCACTCAATCCTTCTTCCCACATTTTGTTGATGTCTCTGTGCTCACCATGCCCACTGCAAAAACTGCTATTATCTCTTTTGGCTTTGTTCACATCTCTTCAACCATCCCTTTTCTTTTCTTCCCAAATAAAGTTGATGGTGAGCATGAATGGCGTATTAGTTGTCTTTTTCTCTGCTGATTGATTTTCCTTGCTCTCCACACTAGAAGCAGGTGACATCTGCACTTTAAATGTCTTTCAGATAGGGAGATTTGAACTGAACCAAAGCATCAACGTCAATCAGGTGGTTTCTGAAGAACTAGAGTTTTCAGGGTCAGCAATGGAAAGTCTCAGAGAGAATACTGCCCAAGGTCCTACAAATGAAGAAACCTATAAAAGTGAGGGACAGTTTACAAGGCAGACAAAATGGCCTGCACAGAAGAAATCACCTTTTGAGAAAACAGCAGTCAGAAAAGTGTCAGTGACATTCAAAGAAATTTTCACTGGGGAGGGAAGTCCTGAATCCAGTGAGTTTAGTCTAAGTTCAAACCTTGAAGCACAACAGAAAATTCCAAAGGGAGATAGATCTCCCATATCTAGAAGAAACTCTAAAGATATTACAGACTTAATGGCACACCAAAAATTCATTCAACAAAAGAAACTTCGTAAATCCAATGAATGTGGGAAAGCTTTTAGTTACCAGTCAGACCTCCTTGTACACAGTAGAATTCATGATAGAGAAAAGCCTTTTGAATGCAATGAATGTGGGAAAGCTTTCAGCCGAAGTACACACCTTACTGAACATCGAAGAACTCACACTGGAGAGAAACCTTATGAATGCAGTGAATGTGGAAAAGCTTTTAGCCGGAGTACACATCTTAGTCTACATCAAAGGATCCATACTGGAGAAAAACCATATGAATGTAGTGATTGTGGAAAAGCCTTCAGCCGAAGCACTAACCTTAGTCAACATCAGCGAACTCATACTCAAGAAAAGCCTTACAAATGTAACGAATGTGGGACAGCCTTCAATGACCGTTCAACCATAATTCAGCATCAGCGAATACACACTGGAGAGAATCCCTATGCTTGCAGCGAATGTGGAAAAGCTTTCAGCTGGATCGCCTCTCTTATTGAACACCAGAGAACACACACTGGGGAGAGTCCCTATGAGTGCAGTGACTGTGGGAAAGTGTTCAGTCGAAGTTCATCCCTTACTGAGCATCAGAGAATCCACACTGGAGAAAAGCCCTATGAGTGTAGAGAGTGTGGAAAGGGCTTCAGTCGGAGTTCATCACTTATTATTCACCAGAGAACTCACACTGGAGAAAAGCCTTACAAATGTAATAACTGTGGGAAAGGCTTCAGTCAGAGTTCATCTCTTATCAGACATCAGCAACTTCATACTAAAGAGTAACGTCCAAGCTTTTATTAATGTTAGCACATATACATAACCTCCTACAGCCAAACACAAACACACACATAGATACTTGTATGAATTTTTCTTCCCTATTAGCTAGCTATATGTTATAAGCTTGCCTTCCTGTCTTCCTTCCTTTTCCCTTCTTTCCCTTATTCTTTTTTTTAATGTTGTTTTTTAAATTTTTTGTTGTTGTTCCAGAGAAAGATGGCTAAAAGAAATCCCTTCTCTTTCTTTCTAACAAAATTCTCAAATGAGTTATCATTACAACAAAAAGATGGCTTTAAAAACTTGACATATTCAATCTAGTATTCTGAAGGGCTCCAACCTTAGATTATACAACTACCTGACACCTTGCAATTTCTCACCTTGTCCCATGAAATTGGGTCCCAGAACAAGCAGTGAATCCTCTGTTTCACAACCACATCAGCCCCTTCACACGAAGAAGAAATCCTCTGTATGTGTGTTTGTATTTTCATGCTTGCTGACTCCTATAGCAAAAGCAAGGACCTGGCTTCAGACCAGGATTAAAACTTTAACCAGTTTGGTGCAGTAGTGCTGAGGTGAATTCCGTCTCTTTTGTAAAGATTTTTCTTGTCTTCCTCCTTCCCTTACCTATTTTGCTATAGCATTTTCTCTTAAAGTATAACCCAAATTTTGCTAATGTGCCTAACTAATTATAGTGTTCTTTTGTCATATATTTACCAAGAATGTTCTGAAAATTTTGGATACATTTAGTTCCTCAACAATCTTGGAAACCATTGTTTCCAGTTGCTGCCCCGTCCCCCCCCTTTTTTAGTCTTTTCTTTCATTTATAGACTTCATGAAACTTACACCATTTGGCTTTGACTCACCAATCTTGGAAAGCTGATCTCTCAAGGACAAACCAAATGCTACTGCATACTCCTTTTCTTACTTGAAATTTGCAGAATTGGCACTTCTGGCCACTGTTATGTCTTAAACTTGAGCTTCTTTTAGGATCCATATTCTGTACTGATCCATACTTTTCCTATCTCTCAGCACTTCTCTGATGAATAATGATCAGCCTTGTAATTCTGGGCAAGAGTTAGACCACAGTAATCTCATTTTATCCAGTTATAATACTTGAAGTAATGCAACTAGATCAACTAGATTGCTTCTTAAAGAAGAACAAAAAAAACTTTTTTTTTTTTTTTTTGAGACAGAGTCTTACTCTGTTGCCTTAGGTAGAGTGCCATAGCATCATAGCTTACAGCAACCTCAAACTCTTGGACTCAAGTGATCCTCTTGCCTCAGCCCCCTGAGTAGCTGGGACTATAGGCACCTACCACAACACTTGAATAGTTTTTCTATGTTTAGTAGAGAGAGGGTCTTGCTCTTGCTGGAGCTAGTCTTAAACTCCTGAGCTCAAGCAATCCACCCACCTAGGCCACCTACAGTGCTAGAATTGCAAGTGTGAGCTACCACACCCAGCCTTAAAAGCAGAAATCTTGTTTTTGATTCCTATAAAACATCACAAAGTGCTGAGTAGGCACTAAATGTCCTGTAGTTATTTCTTACCAATTCCTTTTTACCCTCTGTAACCAGTCTGCTGGACTTTGTATGAAATGGCATAATAATTGATTACTTTCTATTTCTATTGCTACTGCCAAGTTTTTGGTTCCTTGGACCTAGATTACTAAATATATACTTTTTGCCTTTGTCTCCCTGCCATTATCTATTTTCTTACTAACTACCATTTTCTTCAAAAACACTCCAGTTTCCCAGTGGCCTCAGTAAAAAATTCAAACTCCCTTAACTTTAAGGCCTTTCATTTACTTCCTGTCACTTGCCAAAACAGAGACAGTGCATGTGGGCAGGCCTATCCTTTGTCCATATTACACCCTCTTCTCACCCTTGGTTTCTTTTCAGACTATTACATGGCACCCTTTTCCATATTCTACTTTCTTCTTTGTATCTCCAGAAATGCTGTCCAAACTTTCTAAAAGGCCCTGCTCATGTCCTGCCTCTTCTATGATACCTTCAGTCCCCTACCTTCTTAGAAATCCTTTGTAGTAATTCTTTGCATTATCTCCTGCATCAGAAACTTTTTTGCTTTTAGGTTCTTTTCTCCATAATCTGTTTTGGTTTGAAAGTCTGTTATAAGTCCCATCTAATACATAGTACAATGCAGGCCTGGCCTCTATTCTAATTGAAACCAGAAGAGTTTAAAAGTATAATCTCTTTAGCCTTTTGAATAGTGAGATAACCTCATAGATATGTTGGCCCATTTTGTCCTGCCTTGAAATATATACCTAACTAATTTTCGACTGAATCTTTTAGAGCTCCTGGGATCCTTTACTCTTGGCTTTCCACTTCATGAGACTTATAAGGAATAAGTGAGTTTATTCATTAAAGTGATAAAACGTTGCCTGACATATGCTCAACACTGTGATTCTACTACTTCACATCTGTCTGTAGCCTTTCATTTCATTATCTGCAGGGTCTTTAACTCCATTACCAGAAATGAAAATCTAGAATGATAATAAAATAAGTTAGAAGGTATTTCTTCTAACTGTCATAATAATAGGCAATAGTCAACTATTTTATTATAACTCTACTGTGTCAAAAATGGTTCAAGACAGCTTATAAGATATAATAAAATAGAAAATAAAAACACTTAGAAGGTCAAGACCAGTTATGGTATACTAACTACACAGGTATTCTGTAAGGAATGAAAATTGAGCATTCTAGCAACCAAAATGAAAAGGTCAATTGTTTACATTGTTTTCAAAGAAAAAATATGTCCATTCTTCAAGGAAAACAGATTTTCTAATACTTAGAATTAAGATGAATTTCTCCATTGCCCTTCCTGTAATTCTACAATGTCCTTGATAGCAAAAAAATATGTTTATCTTCCACCACACTTAGTATGTAGTAGGTTATCCAGTGAATTAATATTTAGTTCATAGTAGAAGGACCAAAGAGGTAGGTATGAGAATTGTTCTTGGAATGGAGTGGAGTTAGAAGCAGCAGGGGATAGAGTGTATCACATAATCAAGTATTTTTGCGTGGTAAAAGGAAAGTTTGTGGCACATATTCAAGTACAGCCATGCACCACATAATGACATTTTGGTCAATGATTGACCACTATACTAAAGTGGTCTCATAATATGATAATTATAAAGGAGTACCAGGATTGCTATCTCCTAGTGATGTTGTAGCTGTCATGAGGATGTAGCAGCTGTTGTGATGCTGTAACACAATGTATTAATTATGTGTTTGTGATCAAGCTGGTATAAACAAGCCTATACTGCCAATAAATAAAAGTCATATACAATTATGTACAGCACATGATACTTGATAATAAACAACTGTGTTACTGGTGTATGTATTACTATAACATACTTTTTATTGTTACTTTAGAGTATTTTCCTTCGATTATTAAAAAATATTAAGTAGAAAACAGTCTGAGACAGATCATTCGAGAGGTATTCCAGAAGAAGGGATTGTTATCATAGGAGATAACAGCTCCCTGTGAGTTATTGCCCCTGAAGACTGCCACTGGCACAAGATGTTAAGCTGGTAGACAGTGGTATTGATGATTCTAACCCTGTGTAGGCCTAAGATAATTGTGTATTTATGTCTTAGTTTTAAAAAGAAAGTTTAAAAAGTTAAAATATAAAAAAGTTTATAGAATAAAGACATAAAATATTTTTATACAGCTGTACATTGTGTTTATGTTTTAAGCCAAGTTATTACAAAAGTCAAAAAGTTAAAAAGTTTAACAGTGTATAATGTAAAAAAGTTACAGTGAGTTAAGGTTAATTTATTATTAAAGAAAGAAAAGTTAAAAAAATTAAAAAATAAATTTTTAAAGAAATTTAGTATAGCCCAAGGGTATAGTAATGTCCTAGGCCTTCACTAACTCACTCACCTAGAGCATTTTCTAGTACATTAAGCTCAATATATGGCAAGTGCCCTCTACAAGTGTACCATTTTTAATCTGTTATATTGTTATTTTTACTGTGCCTTTTCTATGTTTGGATATGTCTTGATACACAAATACTCAGCAATGCATTACAGTTGCCTACACTAGTCAGTATAACAACATGTAGTACATGTTTATAGCCTAGCAGCAATTCACTGTAACATATAGCCTATGTGTGTAGGAGACTGTATCAGGCATGTGTAAACATACTGTCAGATGTTTGCACAACAATAAAATTGCCTTTGCTTAAAACGTATCTCTGTCCTTATGCAATGCATGATTATAATTTAATTCACTCATTATGGAGTGAGGAAATTGAAATTTACAGGTGTTGAATAACTTACCCAAGGACCAAGATTTTAGTCTGTTCTGCTGATTTCAATAGTAGTGAGATCTGGAATAGAAAGGCAACTGTGTAAGTAAAGGCATAGAATAAACAAAATGTTATTAGTTTGTTTCAGTAGATGAATTGAACTACCTATGGCAGGGGGCTCAATGAAGTCAAAAGCGAGGTAGATGATATGGAATATCATTACTAGATGGCAGCAGCCTTCTGTTAGATTTCATGTTTTAGACCATGAAGGAGATGTGGGAGGCTTTGATCATGGTATTACTGAACCAGTCCTATGGCGTAGGCCAATAACTCTTAAGAGTTTTTTGAATCTTTTCTTCTAGAATTCATACAGTTTCATCCCTTTATGTAGAAGTCTATTATCCATTGTGAATTAATTTTTGTGAGTGGTGAGAGGTAAAGATCCTATTTCAGTCTTTTATACGTGGCTATCCAATTTTCCCAGCACCATTTATTTAATAGGGATTATTTTCCCCATTGTATATTTTTATATGCTTTTCCAAAGATCAAATGGCAATATGAGGATAGTTTTATACCTGAGTTCTGTGTTCTGACTCATTGATTTGTGTTTCTGTTCTTGTGCCAATACCATGCTGTTTCAGTTACTATAGCCTTACAGTATAGCTTGAAGTCTGGAAAAGTGATGCCTCCCAATTTGTTCTTTTTGGTTAAGATTGCTTTGGCTATTGGGGGTCTTTTCTGGTTCCATCTAAAGGATAAAATTTTTTTTCTATATCTCCAAAGAATGACATTGGTGGCTCAGCACCCATAGCTCAGTGTTTAGGGCTCCAGCCACATACACCGGGGCTGGCAGATTCAAACCCAGCCTGGGCCTGCTAAACAGCAATG